GTCGAGCGCTTCGAGTGTGCTTGGGAAATGTCCCGCCCCTTTCCATAACCGCCAGTTTAACACACTACTAACTAACTCAACCAGGCCCCGCCCCTTTATTCTGCGCATTAATTATTATAATGAGGAATATTGTGACATGTTCTTTCAGCTCGAGACTACAGTGGAGGCGTTTCAGGAGTTCAGAAACACTGAGACTGATATAGAGAAGATCTGGAGATGGAAAACAGCAGAATCGGAAACACATCAGTGCATTTAGCCTCATGTTCCAGACTAAGACAAAGACGTTTGCTGCAACATCCCATAAACATTTCTGCTGTGACATCAGCATCAGTTCATCAATGCTAGACAGTCGCCACAGCAACATCGCCATGGTTACACTATTCACTGCAAAATCGCCATGGCTACATCTCTAAGCATCCCAGTTTCCCCGGCGCTCCTCCTCTCGCTCTGTCAGTCTATTGACCGCTGTGGGTTTCGCTCTTTCTCTGTGTCTCTTTCTATATTTTTTCTCACAGGTTTTACCCAGAATGCTGTGCCAGCAAAGAGAGATGGACAGTGATGATTCCTTTCTATGTTGCAAGATAGAGGCGCCTATTTAACACTTCGCTCAAACGCATGCTCACACACACTCACACACACTTACACTTGCCGTTTCCGGAGCTGCTGACATGTTGAAGGACTTAAAGTGGAGCCATTGTACTGACAGAGATATCATATGTTTGGAAGGAAGAGAGAGAGAGAGGGGGGGGGGCACTCTTACAGTATCTGCACTCTGTATCTTTACTGTATCTTACTGTATCTTTTCTTTAAAAAAATTTTATTTTTTACATTTGTACATTAAAAATATGAATCAATATATATATATATATATATTAGTGCTGTCAAACGATTCAAATATTTAATCACGATTAATCACATTAATGTCATAGTTAACTCGTGATTAATCGCACATTTTTATCTATTCTAAATGTCTCTTGATTTCTTTTTGTTACATTATTTTTTTCTCATTTTAATGCTCTTATCAATATGGAAAAGTGGAAAAATTATTATTGAAAATAACATTGGAATAGTGTTCAATTTCACAGAGAGAGAGAGAGAGAGAGAGAGAGGAGGGGGAGTCACTCTTACAGTATCTGCACTTTTACAGTATCCTTTCTTTAAAAAATCTTATTTTTTATATTTGTACATTAAAAATATAAACAAATTAATATATATATATATATATATATATATATATATATATATATATATAACTAAAAAAAGTTTTAGAAATGTTGTGAAACCTCCTAGGTAAAATCAGAAATTATGAAAATGACACATGAGAGCAATGCAATAATAATATTCAGGTGTCCGTTACCTACAGGGAAGGTGGAATTTACAGTATCTGCACTCTTACAGTATCTTTTCTTTAAAAAATCTTATTTTTTTACATTTGTACATTAAAAATATAAATAAATGTATATATATATATATATATATATATATAACTAAAAAAAGTTTTCGAAATGTTGCGAAACCTCCTAGGTAAAATCAGAAATTATGAAAATGACACATGAGAGCAATGCAATAATAATATTTAGGTGTCCGTTACCTACAGGGAAGGTGGAATTTACAGTATCTGCACTCTTACAGTATCTTTTCTTTAAAAAATCTTATTTTTTTACATTTGTACATTAAAAATATAAATAAATGTATATATATATATATATATATATATATATATATATATAACTAAAAAAAGTTTTAGAAATGTTGCGAAACCTCCTAGGTAAAATCAGAAATTATGAAAATGACACATGAGAGCAATGCAATAATAATATTTAGGTGTTCGTTACCTACAGGGAAGGTGAAATAAAATAAAAAAAAACACTTTTGCTACTAATATGAAAATTACTCAGATTTTCATGAATCATTTAGCCTATGAAATTCAATACAGCAAATTAGTTATGAAGAAATATAAACAAATAATACTAGAATATATTTGATTGAGATACTATAATAGTTGTTATTATTTAGATTTTTGATTTTATATTTTAACTTTAGTTTAAAGTTCTAATAATCTTTTGTGTTTTTTTTAAATATGTTGATATAGTTTTATTTCAGTTTTAGTTACTTTAGTACATAAATGTTTGGCAACTATCAGTAATAAAATAAGACTATGTTTGTTAATATTTTCTAATTTATTTTATGTGCATTTTTTGATTTATATATTTAATTTTTCTACATTTTCACATTATAGAGTATATACTCTCTGCAAGGAATAAACATCTCCATAAAAGCTCAGTGGATTAAAGGAGCAGTTTAAGTGGAATGACAGAAGCTAATTGATGAATTGCGTTGTGGCTAATTGAGATGGAGATGAAGTTTCTCTGACCTCGTTCAACGGCTCCCGGTCAGACCGATTCCCTCCTGCAGTTCATTTTCCCTTCCTGAACCTTGACAGAGTTTTTGATGGACATCTTTTTCCACTCCTCTTTTTTTTTTCATCATTCTCATTCATTTTAGGGCACGTCTGCATTACTTTGTAATTTTTCATTGGGAATTTGGAGAGAAGTGTGACATTTTAACAGGTCTTGTCCTCAGCATGCTCTTCCGGAGAAAGGCTCTTTGAATACTAAACAGATCTTCCTCTCCTCAGTGATAGAAGTCCTAAATGCCTCACTTAGAAAGACATTCTGAGCTCGGACTAAAATTCAGTAACTTTTTTTCCCCACAAATGACTGGATATGGTTGTTCAGTTCACATTTGACTATGCAATAACTATTAAATAATTGAATAATTCACTGTGTACTTTTAAGATTAATTTCAGTGCCACTGATGTAACTAAAAAACTTGTTTTCAAACGTTTTAACAGACCAATTTCTTTTTCTTTTACTTAAAGACTTTTTTGGTATTATTATTATTATTATTTGGTAACACTTTATTTTACAGTGTCCTTGTTACATGTACTTAGCATAGTAATAACAGTAAATATCCATAATTGCGTGCAACAGACCCTCAACCAAACACTAATCCTACTCTAACCCTATAGTAAGTGCATGTAGTTATTATTACACTGTAACAATGGCACCTTAAAATAAAGTGTAACCAAATATTTTTAATTATGTCTTGTAAATTAACTAGTTATAACGGTTGCATACCGTTGCCTTTACTCCAGAACTGAATCAATGTGTCTGACCATATCTAAATGTGGAGCGTTTTGTTTCAAAGCGAAGAGAAAAACAAGCAGGCAAACGGCATCTATCTCGGCTGGGTCAATATTAATCACCAAAGTTGTTGAGCATACAGCAGCCGTTGTAAACAAATGCAAATGCATTTTCATATCAAACGAGGTCGGCATGATCACTCGGATTCTGGCGCTTGTTTACTAACAAGTTGTAAGGCTGTTGTAGTCAGGATGATCCACGTATCTGACCTTCATTCGTCAGCATCACTCACTGTAGTCCGAAAACCCCGATCCGTCCTCATAACGACACATTAAATATCGTCTGAGATTGTCTAACAGACACAGGCTCAAATGCAGTGCACTGATGTAAGCTCTTACATATTACATCAAAATCATTCCTATTTCAAAGAAGTGAAACTATCATCCACTTTCTCATTTAAGAAAGGGAGCAAACTGACAGTGATGCCTATCGGACTCGTACCATAATTGACCGAGTTATTATTTTCTCGCCATGGATTTGGCAGTAAGAGGTTCATTGGATTTTAAAGGGACAGACCACCCAAAAAAAGACAGCGTGACCTATATAACCAGTCCCTCCAGGATTTCTCGTTTATTTTTTTTTATTTATTTTTTTTTTTTTTGATTTTTGCGATCAAAATGATTTTGTGGTGGTAATTTCAAAAAATTTGTTAAAACATTTGCGATTTGTAAATAACATTTACCATAATAGTATTCAGTCCTGATTGTTGCGGGCAAAAATCCTTGATTACGCGGTCCGTTTTCTTTAAAAATGCGTTTTCTTAAAAAATCTTTAAAAAATTTTCGTGGAATATGCGGGATATTTATGCAATGAAATTGCAGGAATTTGCAAAAATTGCGGGAACTTGCAAAAATTGCGGTTTGATGAAAAAGAGAAAAAAGTGATTCCCCCAACACCCTGTTCTCACTAGGCTAATGTAAGAGTCCTTTCTTATTACTTCATTTGATAAGCAAGCATACTACATCATAGAAAGTGCTGGGGATATTTCATTTCTCATCTTGTTTTATTTCAGACTGTAAGAGTGTAAATAAGGTGTGGCCCCTTTAAGAGCTGCGCGCTCCCTGTTGAACTCTCTGCAGTGTTATAGGTCCGCCTCGAACACCCCATGTGTGCGGGTCATTTCTGTTTGATGCTACTTCTTATATCTTATGTTGTTTATTAAGTAACGATGTGACGGTAGAACGTGTGACAGACAGTTATACGAGTTCAATTTGTGAGATGTCGATCGCCTCGTGAGTCTGTCTGGCGTCGCGTAATTGCGTCACTTCATAACGTTCCCATGGAAACAGGGGGAAATGGCTGCTCTTGCGTGAAGCAAACGCAACATCTTTCAACTTTCTGCTAAGATACATGTGACTTTTTTTGCTACGAAAATGCGAGGATTATGAAATTTTGCAAACCCCGCATATTTTGCACGTAAATCGGCAATTTGAGGCGAAAGTGCGGCGTATTTGAAAAAAATGCGGCCCCCGCATAAATATGCGGACTTTGGCTGATTTTGCATTGAATTCAGCGATCGCATAATCGCGTTTTTCTGGAGGGACTGTGAGAACACAAAAGAAGATATTTAGCAGAATGTCCAAGCTGCACTTTTCCTTAGTGGGGAACTTAAAACAGTGGTTTAAACACTATATGCCAAGGCGCATAATAGATTTGTGTGAGAATAACTTTTTCCCAATGGAAATACCATTCTACTAAATAAGTTATGAATGTACTTATTATTTTTTTGTTCAAAAGCACAGCTATCGACCAATCCGAATCAAGGACTGAAACTAACCGTTTTATAAAAGAATATCATGATTGCAGATGATATATTTTTGTGGAGGTTTGAGGAGTCATCAGGAAATGATCTTTTGGTTCGGTTGAGCTCAGCGACTCACCCGTGATGGTAACCGACGCGAGCGCCTCGTCTCCCAGCAGTGGATTGGTCAGTCTGCAGGTGTATGTGCTGTCGGGCTCCAGAATGACGGTCAGGACGCTCTTCACACTGAACAGACCCTCCTCGTTCGCTACTTGCGAGACGGTAACGTTGTCCGTGAGGTTTTGCCCCGCGCCGTCCTGCCAGAGCACCTGCGCCTCGGGATACCCCCCGTACGCCACACAGGTGAGGGCCACCGCGTCCCCGGGCTTCAGGAGGGACTCGCTGCCCCAGGTGACCAGGGGTTTGGAGAACGGCGCTGGAGAGAGAGCGAGAGAAGACGAGTTATTTACATGACAACGACATTCTTAAAACGGAGATGTTTTCCCCTACAGACGACATCCTCATTCTCACGGATACGCAAAAACAACTAAAAACGCTGTATTCTGCCAGGCCACTAGATGGCGATGAAACACTATAGATTGAACACGTAATATGAGCATGATGTCATTGTCTTCAGAGATTCGCGTTTTTGTTGTTTACATGGAGACCGTTTTCAAAACATTGCATCTTCAGGCTGTCGTGTAAATAAACGGCCAAAACACGTACACAATTTGACGTTTTCAGTTATAGACGGTGTTGTGTGAACAGCCCCTAAGTCTGGACCAGAGGTCTGAAGGAGGGTTATTATCATTAAAGGAGTAGTTCGTTTCATAATTAAAATTTCCTGATGATTTACTCTCCTCCACGTCATCCAAGATGTCCATGTCTTTCTTTCTTCAGTGGGAAACAAATGAAGGTTTTTGATGAAAACATTCCAGGATTTTCTCCATATAATGGACTTCAATGGGGTCCAAATGGTTCAAGGTCCAAATGAGAGTTTCAGTGCAAACTGTTCAAAGTGAACAAATCTTTTTCTGAGTCATTACGTTCGTTTCGTTCGTTGAATGAACCAAATGACTCGGAAAAGATTCGTTAATTTTCATGAACAGGAGAGTCACGAACGGTCATCACAGAACAGAGCAAGGCGAGCATTTGAGCTTATAAAACTTAAACTTTGTTATTTATTTATTAAATGAGCGATCGTTTCGCTTGATAAGACCCTTATTCATCGTCTGGAATCGCTTAAAGCCCTTTGAACAGTTTGCACTGAAACTCTCATTTGGACCTTGAACCGTTTGGACCCCATTGAAGTCCATTATATGGAGAAAAATCCCGGAATGTTTTCACCAAAAATCTTAATTTCTTAAAAACTGTCTTTTGGACCTTAAACTAATTTTTCAAAAGTGAACTACTCCTTTAAAGCGGTGAATAACCCCGGGGTAAAATAACTAATAATTATCACCATACTTCACCAGTTGATTGATTACAACAATACTTATATATCTCTAAACAACTTACGTTTGACTTTGATGTTTGAGAATGTAGTATTATTGAAAAGAGCATATTTACTGACCATTTGCACCAATAAAACTATGCTAATCATAGTTCACATGCTATTGAGTTCATTCCCCCCAGAGATATTAACTTTGGGTTTAATCACTGTTATAATTATAAGGGGATCATTCTCGACTCTATAACGCCCCCAAATACGTTGATGTTGTAACCAAACTCACATTCAGGTTTATATTCAATACGTTCATAATCTTATCATATCACGTCTTTTTCTTTTGGAAGAAACACCACGAGGGCGAGTAAAGCCCTTAAGTGTCATAGAAACCCATAATTTATGACACATTTGTGTGATGTTAATTGAAAGTCTCCTGAAGAGGAATCGTATTGGAGCCCAAATTCATACTGCTAATAAACAGGAAAGGTTATAATGTTCAACACTGAACATGACAGGATTGCTTTTGTTTAATCTTCATTAGACGTACAGAAGCAGACAGGAGTGGTGCGTCTCCGAGCATTAATATTACTTAACTCAATGCATGGAGAGAGAACGGCGAGAGAGACTGAGGGGAGAATGGGAAAATGCCATCTATAGATCATAAATAATGATGTACCCCGGTAAGTCTGAGTGCACTCAGCCATAAAAATAATAACACATATAGGCGGCTACAGTTGAGCACGTTCTCCAGGGATTGCGGACGCGTGCCATCAATCACACGAAATCCTCACAATCGATATGACTGTATATTGATCAGGGTCATTGTGAGAATCGCATATAAATGATTGTGGTCTTTATTGGGCCTTTGCAAAAGCACTAAGCATTTTATGGCCAATAATCAAGATGTGCATAGATATCAATCACACAACAACACGCCTGCAATATCCATAATAACACACATTACGTGAAGTATACAGTACATAATAAAGCTTTGATATGCAGTATCTGTTCACCTTCTTTATGATATGAGCTCTCATATACAGTAGATGATATGGATTATATTGATTTTTCTAGATTAGAGTAACGCATGGAGGCAGTGCAAGTTAAGCTCTATTGACGGCGTTCGTGGCATTACGTCAATCATCACAGGAAACTTGGTCCTCAGTTTATTCAAGAAAATGAGGCGCGTGCAGAAACAAATCACCAACAAACGATCGTTCAATTAGTGAGGTTAACTACTTTTAGATTTTTCTTATTTTTTTTTTGCACATTAATTAGCACATTTGATTTGGCGTCTTAATTAGCATGCGGTGCTGATTTTCAATAAAACCCTCAGAGAAAGTGTATTTTGAAAGGTTAATATCAGAAAGCAGTGTTATTATAGTATAATTTGAGTTTGATTTTTTTATATATATATATATATATACATATATCACACAATGTTGTTACAAACTCATAAGACTTTTGTTCATCTTTGAAACTCAAACAAAGAAGTTTGTTTATTTATTTCCCTCCATTGAATGTCTATTCACAAAACCAAATCAAAGTCTTCTGAAGAGATTATTGAATTAAAAATATTTAATTTAGGCTTTTTATTACGTATATAATACTAAAAAAAAAACAAGGGTAACACTTTATTTTACACTGTCCATGTTACATATGTGACATGTATTTAGCATAATAATAACATAAAATTTTGTATAATCCTAATCCTACCCTAACCCTATAGTAAGTACATGTACTCAGTACTTAAATATATAATTACACTGTAACATCTTAAAATAAAGTGTTTTTCCGAAATAATTCATGCTGTGTGTTGTAAGAGGGATTTTTGTTTTAAAAACTATTAAAAGTATTTTAATCGCTACAAATGCTGTCGACAGAGGCAACACTAACATCCATCTATATGTAATTAATTAGTAATCAAGCTTGAATGTCACATTCCGTTTTCATAGGAGAGCTTCACTTCCTGTGTGATGGCCGGTCCTCTTCTCTGATTGGTTGATTACCTGCGACTTGCATTAGCATGGCTCCGCTGCTGTACTCCTGGACTCTGACGAAACACGAGTAACTTCCCTCGTCCGCGACGCGCACGTTCTTCAGCAGGAGCGAGACGTTCCCGAACCTCAGCTGACCAGGGAACAGGCTGGTGCGGTTGGAGAAGCGCTCGTCTTGGTCGGTCAGCTGATCCCGGTTCAGCCAATAGCTGTGTACGTTGCGCTTGGTGTCCGACAGCTGCCAGAACACACTCAGGTCCGACAGGTTAAACTCTGAGACCCCGGAGAAAGAGCAGTTCAGGACTGTGTCCATCCCAAACTGAGACACCACAGGGGATTCTGGGACGTGGACCTCGAGAGCTGTGGGAGATAAGATAAGATAAGATAAGATTACATGTGTTACTATAGACCTTATGTAGCCCCGCCCCTTTTCAGCGCTGCGCTCGCTGTCTTTTGACTTCCGGTCTGTATTTCCACAGCGATCTTGCGTAGGTATGAATGAACTGCTCGTAATAAAAATTCCCGTTCGACATTTGTTAAAGGATTAGTTCACTTTTGAAACAACTTTTGCTGATAATTTACTCGCCCCCATGTCATCCAAGATGTCCATGTCTTTCTTTCCTCAGTCGAAAAGAAATTTAGGTTTTTGATGAAAACATTCCAGGATTTTCTTCATATAATGGACTTCAATGGGGTCCAAACGGTTCAAGGTCCGAAAGACAGTTTCAGATGCAGCTTTAAACGACACCAGACGATGAATAAGGGTCTTATCATGCGAAACGATCGGTTATTTCAAAGCTTATTCCAAAAATGTAACTTTTCTAAGGACAAATGCTAGCCTTGCTCTATTCTGTGAGGCACGTTTGTAACGTCACGTAATACGTAATTACGTTCAAAAGGTCACGGGCGACGTAGCCGGAAGTACAGAATCAAAATCGTCCGACATCGTTGTTTTACCTTTTAATTCCTTTTTTTGTAAACGCCGTTTGAGTTAGTTTGCACGTTCAACCTGTGCGTTCAACTTGTAAACACTCTGACTCTGTAGTTCTGGCTACGTCGCCCGTGACCTTTTGAACGTAATTACGTATTACGTGACGCTGCAAACGCGCCTCACAGAATAGAGCAAGGCTAGCATTTGTCCTTAGAAAAGTTACATTTTTGGAATAAGCTTTGAAATAACCGATCGTTTCGCATGATAAGACCCTTATTCATCGTCTGGTGTCGTTTAAAGCTGCATCTGAAACTGTTATTAACTGTCTTTCGGACCTTGAACCGTTTGGACCCCATTGAAGTCCATTATATGGAGAAAATCCTGGAAAGTTTTCATCAAAAACCTAAATTTCTTTTCAACTGAGGAAAGAAAGACATGGACATCTTGGATGACACGGGGGCGAGTAAATTATCAGCAAAAGTTTTTTCAAAAGTGAACTAATCTTTTAAGACATCTGCTTTACAATGCTCATGATAACTTTTGTTAACTCTACAGTAAGTAAATCCACTTCACCAGCGACAGCGATGCCATTGAAATATACAGATAGTGAAAGCACGTGCAAGTCGTCTCCGGATCAGCGCGCGGCGGGAAAGGAGCGATGATGACATCACGGAAACTTCAGGAACACGTCAGTCCTCACATCATTAATGACGCTCAAAGAAACCTCAATCTGTTCCCGCACAGGGGAGTGTGCTGTCAAACTGTGTCTCTCTCTCTCTCTCTCTCTCCCTTGCAATGGTTTCATCTACATGTCCGTTTTGTAATCTTCTTTTCTACTTTTTTCTGATTGTTTTAGATTAACTCCCTTGTTTGAATTGTTGCATAAAATATTTGCTGTACTTGGATTTATGTTTACATAAATCCACTTTATGTTTATGTTTACATAAATCGGTATAACAATTCTTTTGTTCCTATGTCTGTACGTATGTTGAATAACAGTCTATCTTATTAATTTTACATTTTTAAAAATTATGCTTTTCTCTTTTTTATACTTGTATATTGTATATTTCTATGCACATGCAGCAACCATTGTAGTCCAAAGCAAATTTCCTCTCGAGGATAATAAAGTATACTACTACTACTACTACAAAAAATCTGTTTATTATGGGTTTAAATCATCGGTAAAGTATCGGGTTGCGGTGGAATATGCCTATTGTAAATTAACAAATAATAAGGATTTTTTTGATGCAAGGTGGAGTGTGAAAAATGGTGAGAAATGTGTTTGGAGAGTTATGGTTTAATTGGTAGAGTTTTCATTTATATTATTATTTTGATGTATTTTATTTTATTATATATATATATATATATATATATATATTTATTTTTTGTCTTGTCTGTGTGGTGAAAATAATGCTTTTTAACTAGCTGTTTGATTAAAAGAGTTTTAAAAGTCAAAAAAAGTCTCTCTCTCTCTCTCTCTATCTCTATCTCTCTCTCTCTCTCTCTCATTGCCCGGCACCATTAACACAAAGTGTCAGATGTAAACTCAAATTAGCCCCTTATTTCCCTGTCTCCCTCCTCTCGTCTCGTCTTCTCTCTGTATCGTCCTGCTGTTCCCGCTAAAAGCTTCTGCTAGATCAATCGTTTGTGGTGTTTCCAACGTTCCCGCACTCTTACATAATTCCTAATCCTGGCATTCACTGCAGACGAGGGGCACATTCACATTTAAAGGGTTTGAATGAGGATTTGAGCTCTTTTCAATGGCAGACGCTCTGTGTTCGGATGCCATTTCTGCATATTTTAATCGTTTAATTGTTTTCATACTTTTGTCAACTATAAATAGCATCATATGAAGCTGTTTATACACTATCAGTGAAGGAGTGCGTACCCTGGAAAAATGCTTCGTCAGGGATCGTAAACGTGTCTAAATAAACGGGCTTGATTTATAAAGCTGAATGCATGGAGTCATCGGTCGGATGAGGTGGAAACTGTCTGTTTCTGTACTAATCCTGGATCTCACAGTATAGGCGACTGATTTTGGTCCAAATCGAACACATTAAATTGATTAGAAGTGACATGACAGTACATACATTGATAATGTTACAAAAGATTCACTAACGCTTTAGATTAGAGCATGGAAAGTACTGTGTAATTAAGAGGAATTAACAGTGTAACTTACATGTAAGAATAAAGGAACAATATGTAAAGTTTGGGGAATAAAGGATAATTAAAAGATATATATTTATACTGTAAGAATTATAGAAGTAAGGGGAACTTATTATACTATTATGATACAACAATCTAACATTTGCGATAGAACATACACTGTGTAGCTTTTTGAAATAATTATGTTCCAAGGGCAATACTGTATAGGCTTTTTAAAAATGACAGAGTATATCTATGCATTTACAAAACAAATATATATATTTTTTTTTCCTTGATGGGAAAAGCGCAGATGTTTGGGCTTATATGTTTTAAGGCAAGAACAGCTAAGATTATTGCAATTTTTTTAAATATACTGGGAAATATATCTGGTTTGATGTGGTTAGAGGGTAAGTGGTGCTTGTATAATAAATAAAGGTTTCTGAGTCAGTGATATAAGATTGTGTGTATGCATTTTTATTGTACCCTGCAACTACAAGAGGGTAACAACAAGCTCCGCTACATGAAATAACAGTATCTTACCCCAATATTCAAGCAAAAGTTGCAATAATTTTCATTTTCAGTGCACTTTTGTTAAAAATATTACTTTTTTTACTAAATGCATCGATACCCTGTAATATTAAAAAGCATATACAGTATGTACTGGTTCACCATTATTTCCAAAAGGTACGTTCTTGCTAAATTGCTCCCAAATGTAAGATTGTTATATAATAAAAGTAGAATAAGTTCCCCTTAGTTCTATAATATTTACAGTTTAATTATTTTTATATGTTATCCCTTTATTCCCTTATACTTATATTGTAAGTACGTTATCGGTAGACTATAATTACTAAAAGTTACGCTGTAAAACCGCTTTAATTACGCAGTACTTTCCGGGCTGCTATAATCTAAAGCGTTATCAAAGATTCTATTTCTAAGAAATAATAAATTCTATTTCTCTTGATCTTTCTATTCATCAAAGAATCCTGGAAAATAAAATTTCCATAACTGTTTTGATCATCAGATCCTCATATTAGAGTGATTTCTGAAGGACCATGTGACACTGAAGACTGGAGTAATGATGATAAATTCAGCTTTGATCGCAAGAATAAATTACACTTCACTATATATTCACATACAAAAAAAAAAAAAAAAACAGATGATTTACATTGGAATAATATTTTGGAATATTAATGGTTTTACTGTATTTCTGATTAAATAAATGCAGTCTTGGTGAGCAGAAGAGAATTTGTAGTGTATATAGTGTCAACATTTATTATAAAAAATACAATAAATATAAAATAAATAAAATAAAAAACTAAAACAATACAAATAAAATAAATAAAATACAAATAAAATAAAAAATGTCGTATTTTTCAATACATTAAACAAACAAAAAAATACAAATATATATAAATATATAATAAAATAAAAGAGACTAATAAAAGAGACTATTGTAGAAAGTAATATTTGAGCTTTAAAACTAATGTGGACATATACTGCTCATGATGACTTCTGATTGATATCTTGGCAAATCTGAGCACAATTTGAGACATTGTTGAGATCTCTCGGAGGATCACGTGTGAGATTACAGGCTCTTTTCCTCAGGAGCTGAACATACAGTCGTTCATTAATATCATTTACAGAGATTATCTTTTAAAGAGATCTCACTGGTTAATCTTCTGTCCTACAGTGAACTGGAGATGTCACATTTAAATGGACTGTAGATCTAGTCTAGACATCTAAATATACTTCACAAATATAATATTTCACTTTCACAAAGTCACTGAGAATAAACTCAGTCTGTGCCGGTCTCAGATTGGATCAGGTCAGAAGTGGATTTATGGTAAGTGACGGACCGGACTGTCTCGGGGACACACACACATCCTCCGCTCTGCTCCTTACATTTCAAAAAATATAAATCTCTCATATTTGCCTTTAATATCACAACCAGTCGGTGTTGCCATGACGTCACTTCCCATGTCTCCAGACTGATTCTTTTCTTCTCTATTGTGTCGTATATCGAGAGAATCGCTTCTGGATCAAGAACAGATGTGGGCGGGGCTTGATTGTGTCTGTGCGGAACTGATTGGATGGTTGTGGTTTGCTATTGGCTGATCTCATGTGAGTGACAGGTTAGAATGATTTAGCACATTGCCAGCATGTTTTAGTGTGTTCGCCAGCATGATAACAAGTTGTCATGTCATGATGTAGCACGTTGCTAGCATGAATTACTATATCGCTAAAATGATTTAACACATTGATAACTTGATTTAGCATGTTGCTA